GCCAGTGGCTGGGCCAGAGGAGGCGGCAGGCGGTGCCAACGTCACTGCCGAACCATGGCGAGCCCGGCCTCGTGGGAAGGGTTTGGTGTTTCCCGGTGCGCCCTGCACTCCCTACGTGAGGGCCGTGTGTCGTGCCGCTCTTGGGGTCACTTCAGGTGAAGGGGCACCTTGCACGGGCCCAGGGCGGAGCGCAGAGGCGTGTGGGTGGGGAGCCCTTCGTGCCTGTGCTGACGTCTCTTCACCGACACTGACGGCTGTGCTTGTGCGGCCTGCAGCACAGTAGTCAGCTGTCTCTGGAACGACCAGTCCTGAGCCGGCGTTTGAGTTGCGTGCACAGGAGCAGGAGAGCACGTTCCCCTATCGTGTCAGAGCACTAGAGTCAGGGCCGAGGGCCGTGCCGTGCCGTGGCTGGCCTCCCGTCGGGACGCGCTTGCTGTATGTCCACGTCTCGGACAGGCTCTGCGAACCCTTTGATAACACGGTGTAAACAACAAGTGTGTGCGGGGTGTCCCAGTCCTCTCAGCTGTTTCTCACAAAGAGAAGCGTGTAATTGCTATAAGTGTTTCAACAAAAATTGTTCCAAGAAAACCAAGTGCTGTCTCCCGACTCCCTGTCCATGCCGTCACCGTCCAGCCCACCGCTGGGCCGGGACTCACAGCCTGGCTGTCCTCACTGGAGGAGGAGCCGCCGCACAGGCGCTCTGAGTCCCGGCCGAGGGGTGAAGGGCGTCTCCATTGGCAGGTGGTTCGACGTGCTGCAGAAGGTGTCCACCCAGTTGAAGACAAACCTCTCGAGCATCACAAAGACCCGTGCAGACAAGGTACGCGGGGCCGCCGGAGAGCACGTGCGAGAGCGGCCGGGCGGCCTGCGGCCTGGGCCTGGCAGTGGAGGCGCGCTCATGGCGCCCTCTGCCTCGTCCTAGAACGCCATTCACAGTCACATCCGGCTGTTCGAGCCGCTGGTCATAAAGGCGCTGAAGCAGTACACGACCACCACGTCCGTGCAGCTGCAGAGGCAGGTCCTGGACTTGCTGGCGCAGCTGGTCCAGCTGCGGGTCAACTACTGTCTCCTGGACTCAGACCAGGTGAGTCACTGGGCCTTTCGTCTCCCGTGTCTGTTGGCGGCCTGGGGAGAGTGGCCGCAGGGGGGCGCCACCACCACCTACAGCAAGGAAGGTGCTGTTCCCCCCAGCCAGCCTCTGCGACTCACCAGGACTGGCCGCCGGGCCTGGCGCACACTGGGGTCTCCCCATCTGCTCTGGGCTGTTGGGGTCACCCTGGACCCTGGTCACATTGGCCAGAGGCTCTCCCATAGCCTGTGCAAGGCGGCACGACATGCTGCTTTCTCCTCCTGAAGCCGCCTCTGGCACGTGAACGCTGGGGGCCGCCTGAGCACGGACAGGCCTGCTTCTCAGCAGGCGCCTGAGCCCATCGGCAGCCTGCGCTTCCCGCCTCGGCCCGCACAGCTCTGTCCCGCCCCCGGACTTGGTAGCGTTGGGGCTCGGCCATGAACAACCCCTCATGTTGGCCCCCTTGCTCTCGCCACTCGGTGCCCTGGCTCCGCAGTTCTCAGGGCCACGCAGGCTTCCTGAACAGGGAGGGAAGCAAGCCGCGGACCACTGAGCTCCATTCCGATTTACTGAGCGCCGGCCGGGGAGAACGCAGCGGGCGCGGCAGTCCATGTTTGGGTTGGGGGAGCAGGTGGTGCTTGGAATGGAGTGGGACCACTGTTGGCTCTCACGCGGGCCTGACGCACTGCATCTGCTCCTGGGCCATCCTGCACCACCCAGTGCCCCGCGTGGGGCTCCTCGAGCTGGACAAGGAGGGCCTGGTGTGGCGGGCACTGCCCGGGGTCCCCCGAGTTCATTATTTGTTCTCCAGAGGTCTCTCCTCTGTGCTCAGGAAATGTTTACAGGGACCCTGGAAGGGCCCGAAACTCCAGTCTGACATAGTAAATTCGTTTGAGTTCTTGTAAATGACAGATTTACACAGATAGTGGGGAGCGAGGGAGCCTGGGGCGCGTTCTCGTTCTCGTTGTGGAAGTGACGCTTCTCTCCTGCTGCAGGTGTTCATCGGGTTCGTGCTGAAGCAGTTTGAGTACATTGAAGTGGGCCAGTTCAGGTAACGGAGTTTTCTTCTTTTACACTCTTGTTCTTGTTACGTAAGTGCATCTAGTTTTAGATTATTAACATGAACATACTTTAAAGGACTGTTAGGCATTTAAAAAAATGTTTTTATTGATCTTTTTTTAGGGAGGGGGGAGAGAGAGAAACATCAATGATGAGAGAGAATCACAAATCAGCTGCTTCCTGCACTCGCCACTCTGGGGATCAAGCCCGCAACCAGGCCTGTGCCTTGACCGGGAATTGAACCCAAGACTCTTCGGTCATGGGGCAGTGCTCAACCAATTGAGCCACAGCAGTCAGGGTGATGGTTAGGCATTTTTGCTGGGTATTTTTTAATGGAAATCTGACTAATTTGCTATGCATTTTTGTTTCTCTTAAAAATTAATGAGGCCAGGCCGGTGTGACTCAGTGGTTGAGCGTCAACCTGTGGGCCAGGAGGTCACAGTTCGAATACCGGTCAGGGTACATGCCCAGGTTGTGGGCTCAATCCCCAGTCAGGGGCGTGTAGGCGGCAGCCGATCAGTGATTCTCTCTCATCATTGATGTTTCTATCTCTCCCTCTCCCTTCCTCTCTGAAATTGGTGGAAAGATATAAAAAATAAATAAAATTAATGGGTATCTGAAGACTAGTCTAGAAGTTGTTCTGTATCTGTTAATCACAGATGCCGTCAGGTTTCAAAGCATCTAATTATGGTACTCAGTTGCTAAATGAAATCTGATCTGTTGAACACTAGCTCTTAATCTTAAAGAGCATTTAGATGTGGTTGGCTTTAGCAGAGGCAGTTACCGTGCACTTATGTCGGCTACAGCTTTGCTTGCTACACAGGAAGGGTTAATGCTTCCCGTGCAGGCATGGGAGTATAATTATTGAAAATTAAAATTCTTTTTCTTTTAATCCTCACCTGAGGATATGTTTTTATTGATTTGAGAGAGAGAAAGAGAGAGACTGATGAGTTGCTTCCTGTACATACCACAATGGGGGATCCAGACCACAACCTGGGCATGTGCCCGGACTGGACTCGAACCCACAACCTTTTGGTGCACGGGGCGATGCTGCAACCAGCAAGCCGCCCGCCAGGGCTCCCACTCGCTAGCTCCTGCACTGCTTAACGAGCAGCTGGGGATCCTGCTGAGGACAGTGTCCTGAGAGGCAGGGGGCTAGCGACCCACTCTCCTCCCAGCCGCATGACGCCCGAGTGTAGTGGGCTCCTCTCCTGTTGGGGCAGGTTCTTGGACTGAAGAGTGAGGAGCTGAGGGAGCCGTGGAGCCGGCTCTGCTGGGCGCCCAGGGCTGCGGTGCTCTCTGCTCAGCCTTGCGGCCGCGGGCTCTGCATGGACGGGAAGGCGCCGTGAGCGATGGACGGGAGGAGCCCGCTAGGGCTGCCTCTCTGGCGAGCTCTCGCTTCCCATGAGGGTTTCGTATTGCTTCATTGATTGTGTACCTCAGCTTTAAGGGAGTTTACATGGATGTGTCTACATGGATGTTTTTGTTTCTAGGGACTCAGAGGCAATCATTCCAAACATCTTTTTCTTCCTGGTCCTCCTGTCTTACGAGCGCTATCATTCAAAGCAGATCATTGGGATCCCTAAGATCATTCAGCTCTGCGACGGCATCATGGCGAGCGGGAGGAAGGCCGTGACCCACGGTAATGGGACAGCCCTTCGCTGCGGTTCCCTCCTCCTGGCTGCTCCGCAGGCTGGTCCTCGGGCCCAGCCCCCGTGTCCGCACCGCTCTGCTGTGTGGCCCCGTGTGTGTGCGCATGGGTGCATGTGCACGTGTGTGTTCACATGTGTGTGCTTGTGCACGTGGAGGGGCACACTCTTTACTCGGAGGAGTTAGAACCTACTTAAGTAAAAATAGAGACACAGTAAAACGCTGTGCAGTACAGATAGGGCCTGACGTAAACACGTGGCTTCGTGCACACGGAGAGTCCCACTGCCGCAGGACCCCGCGGTGCTCCCTGCGGTGGCAGGAGGCGCGGGCTTTCCAGGCGTGCGCCCCCGGCCTCTCAGCAGAGCTTCTGTCCCCAGCCATCCCGGCTCTGCAGCCCATCGTCCACGACCTCTTCGTTTTAAGAGGGACCAATAAAGCTGACGCAGGGAAGGAGCTGGAAACCCAGAAGGAGGTGGTGGTGTCAATGCTCCTCAGACTCATCCAGTACCATCAGGTGAGGGCCCGTGGCCATCCCGTCCTCCGTCGTCCCCGCAGGTGGAGTGGGTGTTGCTCTGGGCCGGTGGGCCCGGCTGGGGGGCCCGGGGGTCTGTGGGGCTGTCTGAGGCAGCGCCGCCCCGTGGGGAGGACCAGAGCCCCGAGGGGCCGCGTGGAGCTCGCTGTCTCCGTGGTTCTGGTTCTGTTGCCCTTAAAGTTGAGCGAGAACCTCAGGTAGTTGGAAGCAGTGTAAGTGCAGAGTCTGGCCTCTTAGTGACTCCTCTCTCACAGCGTGTCCAGCGGCCTGGCCCTCGCTCACTTTGTCCTTCTTTCCAGCTGTTTGTCTTCAAACCTGTCAGGTCAGGAGCTTTTCTCAGGGGCACTGTCTGCTTCCTTGTGGTCAGTCTCGGTCAGGCTTAATTAAATGCGTGGCGTTTAGTTAGGTCCCATAACCACCGTAATGGGCACACCCGCTCTGGAGGTGTGCGCGCCGCCCGCTCTCGGCCAGCTCTCTGGGCTGGTGGGCAGCCTGGGACTGGCTGCCCCGTTCTCGGCCTGGTTTGCGAGTGAACAGAGGGGCCGCTGGCCTTGGGTAGGGGGGTCGCTGCAGGTAGGTATTCTCGTGCAGTAAGGGTACGGCCACGGGCCTTGAAGGGAGAGGCAGGTGGGACGGGGTGGTCAGGGCTTTGTGGGGGGTGGGCCTACATGGGTGCCTCTCTTTTTTTTAAAATAGGTTTTACTGATTTTTTCAGAGAGGAAGGGAGAGGGATATATAGAGAGAAACATCGATCAGCTGCCTCCTGCACACTCCCTACTGGGGATGAGCCCACAACCAAGGTGCGTGCCCTTGACTGGAATCGAACCTGGGACCCTTCAGTCCACAGGCCGACGCTCTATCCACTGAGCCAAACTGGCTAGGGCAGGCCTCTCTTTTCTAGCAGTTGTATTTAGAGACCTGATGGGCACCTTTCTCCATCTGCTCCGTTCTCATTCTCTGTGAACAGGCAGGTAAAGGTTTTTAGCTTCGCAGGCCCTGTGGCATCTGTTGTGTCTGCTGTTCTGGGAAGAGCCGTCGTCAGCACGCTCACCCGGGCCAGGTCCGGAGCTGCCTCCGCGCAGACATGGCCGCTGGCCAACCGCTCAGGCACAGCCACCGCTGAGAGGTGGTGCCTGGTGGGAGGTGCCCGGGCCCCTGAGGGCGTGGGGCCTGCAGGGTGCTCCGTCGGGCTGTGTGGGGTTTGCCAGAGGTGGGTTAAGTGTCATTTCTGTTTTGTCCCGTTTCTTTGGTTACGAAGTCTCGTAGCTTCACAGGAATGACGAGGGCGAGGCGGAGCCGGCCCCAGAGGAGCTGCTCCTGGCCTGGGTCCCAGGGGGAGTTCTGGGCTCCTCAGGCCGTCGCTGGGGTCAGGTGCTTGGCCCTGCTTTCCCACCCCGAGCGGGATGGGGTGGCGAGTGGGGCGGAGTGACAGCCCCCGCTGCCTGCAGGTGCTGGAGATGCTGATCCTGGTCCTGCAGCAGTGCCACAAGGAGAGCGAGGACCGGTGGAAGCGGCTGTCGCGGCAGGTGGCCGACATCCTCCTCCCGATGCTCGCCAAGCAGCAGGTGGGCCGCGCCGGGGGAGGGGGCGCTGCGCTGGGGCACGGCCTCCTTCACGCACGTCCATCTCCCACAGTGGTGTCTGCGCGGGTCCGGGACGGGAGCTTCCATTCCTCTCAGTGAGCTGTCCCGCTCTTGTGCCCGCTGTACAGCGTGGGACCCAGGTCCCAGGGATGTCGTGTCCCCAAGAATCCCTAGAGAGGCCGACATCTTTCTCCTTTTCACTGATGAGGACGTGGGGAAGGGACAGCCGGCGTGGGAAGCAGGGGGAGCAGCCCTGGCTGCTGAGGGGCCGTTCCATGAGCCCCAGGGGCCCAGGCTGCGCTTGGCAGACCAGGAGGTGGAGCCCCTCCGTGTGGGGGGGTTACCCTAAGAAGGGGTACACGTGGGTGGCGGCCCCAGGAGGAGAGGGGTGGGTGAGGAAGGCTGGCCTGCATGTGCACCGAAGACAGAGCAGGGTATTGGAGACGCTGGACCCCAGAAATTGCCACTCTAGTGCCCCGAGCAGGCGGCATAGTGCCAGTGGAGGCGGCGGGAGCTCGAGGTCTCGTCCCCTGGCGGGTGAGGTGGTTCAGGGCATTCGCTGTCGGACCTGCACCTGGAAAGGCACCTCTTCCCAGAGAAGCCGTTGGCTGTACAGATGTGGGTCACCGCGACAGGGCCTGGCCGCAGCCCGTGCCCGGCTGCCCCCAATGCTTTGCATCCACTGAAAACACTAGACTTGAACCCTGTTGCTTTGGGAGCTCGCCGTTGTGTTTTAAGGGGAAAGCAGGGTATTTATATGATTTACCAGACGAGCTACTAACAAGCCTCTCTCCGTGGAGCAGTGGAGAGAGCTGAGGACGAGGCCCTGGGCGGCAGCGTGCTGACACGCGCTCCTGACGGGCACGTGGGGATGGGGCGCGGGGCAAGCACAGGAAACGAGGAGGAGGTCGCCCGTAGGGAAACTGTTCAGGTGCACGGGGGCGGCTCCCAGGGGGTGATGATGGTGTTGGGGTGCAGTTCCACCTGGTGGTTGTTCTCTTACGTGTTTGAATCTTTTAAAGAAAACGTGTAATGTTTGAATAGAACTCCGCCGGGAAAGGTTTGCGTGGTGGGGACACGCAGCGGAGACGAGGCGTTGGGAAGCCGTGTGCTGGGGGCTCTGAGTGCTGGAGCTCCTTCCACGCCGGTCCTAACGCGGGCGGGCGGGGCGTCGGGCGGGGACCCCCTGAGTGTCGGTGTCCGCCTTTGTTGTGATTGCCACAGATGCACATCGATTCTCACGAAGCCCTCGGCGTGTTAAACACGTTGTTTGAGATCCTGGCCCCGTCCTCCCTGCGGCCCGTGGACATGCTTTTGCGGAGCATGTTCGTCACCCCAGACACCATGGTGAGTGCCTGCCTCCCGGCGCCTCGGGCAGCGGGCGCTGGGCCGCGCCGGGCTGGGTGGGCTGGGCGGCATTGGACACTGTTCCCTGCGGGGGAGCGCAGCCTCCAGAACCCGCGGGGCAGGGGGGTGTGGGTGCAGCGGCCGAAGCGGGTTCCTTTCGGTCATCAGATCAGCCGTCAGGACAGCGTGGTTCTGTCCTTCCCGGTGACCGGCGCGTTTCCTCTCCTCAGGCGTCGGTGAGCACTGTCCAGCTCTGGGTCTCGGGGATCCTGGCCATTTTGAGGGTCCTCATCTCCCAGTCCACCGAAGACATCGTCCTCTCCCGCATCCAGGAGCTGGCCTTCTCCCCGCACCTGCTCTCCTGTCCCGTCATCGACAGGCTAAGGGACGGGGACGGGGCCTCAGCACCCACTGGGCACAGCGCGGGCAGGCAGGTGCAAACGTTGCCGGAAGAGACGTTCTCTAGGTAGGCTGCGTGCGACCCTCCCGTCCCTCTCCCCCCGGAGTCATGTGCGGCTTGGCGATCAGAAAGTCGGGACTGGCCCTCATCTTCCTCAGCCGCCCTGCCAGTGGCCTCGGTTCATGCCTCTCTCCTGGTCAGTGTCTCCTCGCCAGGCGACACGGGGGCTACTGCCGCGGTGGGGGCGGCCGCCCTGGGTGCAGGATCCGGGCGGCGCTGCTGCCGAAGCTCAGAGTCCAGGAGGAGCCACTAGGAGTGGGTCTCACTCTCCTCCCCACCAGGCGCTGGCCCTCCAAACACCGTCCCTGCCGGCGGCCGCCCTGCGGGGCCCGAGGACAGAGGGGTCAGCTCCTGTCAGA